CAGAGCGCAGGCAAGGAGGAGGGGGGAATTTATTTCTAGCTGCAGAGGGTTGGAAGTTATTTAATGTTTTTTAATGTCCCACAGGCTCTGAAATGCAAAATAAAAACGAAACTGAAGTGTTGACAAAGGTCAGTAGCGTGATTTGAACACAATTTTTTTYAGTTCATTGCACACCTGCCACCGTGGCAGGTGCGTTGTTCAGATCTACACGCCACTTCATAATTTTACCCACATTTGGCCAGTGGYGGGTGCTAATTTCCACCCCTGAAACTGTGAGTTTTACCTGCAGTTATCATGGGATTTGTAGTTTCATCACGAACAGTAGCAAACAGCATCATGAAGACAGATCGTGTCAACCTCTGATTATGACTCTTAACTTTATTTATTTATGCAGCCAACAGTTTTCAGGAACAATCAAAAGCAGAAAAAAAATTAAGACTAGGCAAAATTTAATTTAAGACCTTGGATGAAAATCTGGGCGTTTTAAAGACTTTTTTAGGCCTAAAATTTAGATTTTCAAATTTTAGACTTTTTTAGACTTTTTAAGTCCCAGCATGAACCCTGTTATAAGCTTTAAATACATTAGGATGTCTTTATAAACACTGTGGAGGATCGAAAGCACAGCAGAATAAACCGTGGCTTTTAAAATTAATTAAAAAAAAACATCCAGAGTTACATTAAATTTCCCAGAAGTAATGATCTTCTGCCCCCTTGAGTATAACTGATTGTGAACAACATGCTGCACTGAGCTAAGTCACTTCAGGATTTACTTCAGAAGGTTTAAAAAAAAACAAGTTCCACAACAACGAGTTTACGGAGCAGATCTGGACGTCCTGCCCCAAACACACAAACAATGAGGTCTTTTCTGTGTGGTCTGCTGTGATACCTGGACAAAAAAAGCTCCGTCCAGCGCCTGAGCCAAGTCCTCAGAACTGCTGAGCAGAGCAAGCTGCTGCTTGGTGCTCAGCTCTCCTCTCAGCATGTTGCTCTTCTCCAGCTCCTCCAGCTGCTTCCTGAGCAACACACAGCACGACAAACTCGTAACACACAATAAAAACAACACACAAAAAATTTATTTGCTACTTGAATAGAGAATTAAAGTTAGAAAACATATTTAAAACCTAAAAGCAGTGAACATGACCTGTTAATACAGAATAACTCTAAACCAGATGTTTCCAGACGTTTTAGAGTCTGTCACAAACTTACAGTAGAGGAGACTCCTGAGCCTGATGAGTCCAAACYAGAAAAACATGACAATGCAGACAACTCCAGAAATCATACTTGTTTGTTAATGTATGAGTGCTGGTTTGAATATCATTTTTACAGTAATGAGCCTTRGTGGTCCTGATGATTCAGAGAATTTTGAATCAGTTTAGATACAAATAAATAAGATGATACTTGCAGGTCAATACAGTCATGTTCATACAGTCGTACATAAAGCCTATTATTCACTCACCTGTTGTAGGGGGTCACCCCGAGGGGCAATAAAT